CGTGGACGGAGAGAAGGCGCTACCGGTTCTGCATCAGTCCCACCACAACATCCTTATCCGTCGATGCCGTAGGGGTACATGCCCAGCCCTCCACTTCATATGCCAAGCCCACCAGTTTATATGTCATCTCCGCAGGGTTATATTCCGAGCCCGCAGGGTTACATTCCGAGCCCGCAGGGTTACATTCCTAGCCCGCCAGGTTACATGCCTAGCCCGCAGGGTTTTATACCATATGGAGGTGCATATACGACTATGTTTAATGATCCAGCATATGGTTCATATGCATCTTATTTGGCTGGTGGTGCTTCTCCACAGACACCTCAATCTCCATCTGGATCACAGACATCGATGCCAATGTTTTCACAGTTCCCGGGGAGCGGTGGGATTGTTACTAGCACTCTTCCAGGGTCGTTATTTTATACAGGCCCTTCAGCCCCTTCAGCGTCATCTACACCAAATGAAGAAAATGTTGCTGATGATGATAGTGAAGATGAGGAGACTGAAGAACAAGTTCCACGAAGAAATCCTCCACGAAATAGACAACCACCGCCATGTGGAACTCATTCGAGAAGACGACATCAGTGATCCAGTTGTATTTAATGTTATTTAAATAGTTATATTTCAGAATTTTATGTAATTTGGTTATGTTATTTAAATGTTTCATGGTTGTTACATACATATTTTTAATGTTATTTTTTATTCACATTTAACATTAAATGTTTGATAAATGTTTTTAAAATACAAATTATATTATTCAAAATTTAAAATAAAAATAAAAATAATATTATTCGAAATTTAAATTTAAAATATAAATTATAGTATTCGAAATTTAACATTAATTTTCAACTTAATATTCCAATTGTATTCGAAATTAAAAGTTATATTCCAATTATAGTTCACAATACTTAAATTGAAATTAAATTTATCCATACATATGATTTTATCATTAACATATATATTAAAACGTATACATTAAAATCAACTTATGTTGAGTTAATCGATCGACGGAATCGGCCAAGAGGGGGGTGAATTGGCTATTAAAATTTCGGTGGAAGCTTTTGCAGAAAATTGAAAAGATTTGCACAGCGATTTAGAGTGGTTCGACTTTCTCAATCAAAGTCTACGTCCACTACCTTAGCTATCCACACTAAGGATTTTCCACAAATTCAATAATTTGCCTTTCTTTTGAGGACAAAGAGTAACCTTACAAACCCTCAAGAATTATACCCCAAATTCAGGGGTTTGAAAGATTATTTTGAAATTGTTTTAAGATTAAAACTTAATTTTACACTTAAGTAAGGATTAAAAATGATTTTTGAAATATTTGGAGTAATGTTTTGATATTCGAATAATTATATCGAATATACTTAGAAAATCATTTGGAAAATCTTAAAATTCATTTAACTTAATTTGTTATATCGAAATATCAAAATGTTTTCAACAACTTATGACTTCACATTTATTCATAAAAACATCTCGATGCTCATTCCATACAATTTCAATGTCACAATCAACTTATCACTTCACATTTATTCAATTTATCCATAACATTTTATCTAATTTATTCAAACTTCACATAGCGTTTTAATTTAAGTTATTCTTAACTTGCTGAAATTTCAAAAGAAGTTAAATTTTGGTTATAATTTACCTGATTTACTGATATATCTAGTGTCCCCGAGGGACATGAGTGACAAAATAGGGCAATGATAACATATTCTCTGACAAAATAATGGAAGGCGCGCCCCCGGGAACGCGCCTTCATGTGAATAGTGAAATAATAGGTACTGATATATCTAGTGTCCCCGAGGGACATGAGTGACATAATAGGGCAATGATAACATATTCTCTGACAAAATAATGGAAGGCGCCCCCCCGGGAACGCGCCTTCATGTGAATAGTGAAATAATAAGTACTGATATATCTAGTGTTCCCGAGGGACATGAGTGACATAATAGGGCAATGATAACATATTCTCTGACAAAATAATGGAAGGCGCGCCCCTAGGAACGCACCTTCATGTGAATAGTGAAATAATAGGTACTGATATATCTAGTGTCCCTGAGGGACATGAGTGACATAATAGGGCAATGATAACATATTCTCTGACAAAATAATGGAAGGCGCGCCCCCGAAAACGCGCCTTCGTGTGAATAGTGAAATAATAGCTATTGATATATCTAGTGTCCCCGAGGGACATGAGTGACATAATAGGGCAATGATAATATATTCTTGACAAAATAATGGAAGGCGCGCCCCCGGGAACGCGCCTTCATGTGAATAGTACTCTGATTATAGACACTATTATATGCAACATATTATAAACTTTCAAAACAAACTTCAGTTCACAAGCTTTCAAATTCTCAAATTCCCAAACTCTAAATTCTCAAATTCTCTGAAAATGAGTCGTCTTTCTGTTGTTGTTTTGTATGATGGAGAAATTAAGGAAGCTGAAGAGGGGGTTGTTTTTTAGTCAGATCATTATATCCCCTTAACCTTGAAGAGAAACATCACAATTGAGGAGTTAATCACAAAAATTTCGTTAAAGATTCGTGTAGCAGGCCAGAGAAGACTATCTTCACTTCAGTACAGATTTCCTACTGAACTTTTTTCGCTCACGTATACATCATTTCAGCTTTCAAACGATGATGATGTTTCTATGATGGTTGATGCTCATATGGGAGTTCACAATCTCTTATTGAAATGTATGCCACTTTTATTGAGGTTCGTGCAACTCGTGGTCTCTCATATTCATCTCACTTTGGCATTGCATATCAAACTGATCAAGTTGATAGCCCGACACAACTGATCTGTAATGATTTCACATCATTAATGATATTCCTCTCACGAGTATGCATTATTTCAGACCGAGGAGCCGGGATAAAAGCAGCAATGGACTCTTTGGGTACAATATATAGACCTCCACATGTTCAACATCGTTATTGTGTCCGTCATATTACTGCAAACTATTACAGAAAATACAAGAAGAACGATGAACGTCAGTTAGTCGTGCGTATGGGTATGTTATTTTTTCCCAATTTTTCTATCAATTTCTTATTACTTATTTATACTTCATATTAACTATTACATATTCCTAATGGCTTAGGTTACGAACTCTTACCTCAAAGGTTTGAGTCGATGCTACAAGAGCTGTTTGGAAAAAATAAGAAGGGGTACGAGTACATTATGGACATCAGCAAAGAAATGTGGACAAATGCATATGACGGGGGGTATCGCTATGGTCATATGACAACAAACTTGGCTGAAGAAATAAATTTAACCTTAAAGGGGGTGCGTCATTTACCAGTCACGGCGTTGGTTAAAATGACTTATTTTCGTTTGGGTCAACTCTTTGCAAAGCTCGGTGGACAAGCTCTTACTTGGATGCAAAACGGACATATTTACCACCCAAGACTAGTAGTTGATTTACAGAAAAAAGCGGTTGCATCAAATGGGATGTTAGTTACAAATTTTTCTCGCACCCGTGAATTATTTCGTGTAACCGAAATGCCACGTCCGCTGCAAGGGATTGGAGCTAACTCTTTCAGAGTTAATCTGCAAGAGAGGTGGTGCGATTGTGGTTTCTTTCAAGCACTCAAATATCCATGCTCTCATGTCATTGCTGCTTGCTCACATTCGCATTTGGACTACAAAAATTATGTTGATCCCGTATACCAACTTTCACAAGTATTCAAGGTATATGAATTTGAGTTTCCGCCCATAGGAAACGAAAGAGACCCAAATGAGATTCAAACTTGGCTTACAATTGTACCAGATCCATTGCTATTGAGGGACTCAGGTCGTCCAAAATCTACTAGAATACATTGTGATATGGATATTCGGGAAAAGTCAACAGAACAAAAACGATGTGGGCATTGTAGAAACATCGGGCACAATAGAAAAAAATGTCCAGCTCTGTTATCATCATATAACCGTTAACTCTTATGTAATTAATATTGTATTTAAATGAATGTTTTTGTTTCTAATAATTTAATGTTATTGCATTTATATAATTTGTCAATGTATGTACACCTAAATAATTTTTTTTAACTTTTAAATACATAAATATTTTTAATATATTTATTTAATATAATAAATAATATTAAACCTCAATAATTTTTTTAAAATATAATAATAATTCCACCTTCTAAGTAGAGAAAAATATTAAATTAAACAAATTAAAAGTTATTAAAAAATTTATGTATACGATGACACATTTCATGTTCTGATTGGAGGATTAAATTTATTAAATTAAATTTTCAATAAGACCAATTTCATAAAATATGTAAGTCTTGAAGATTAAATATGTAATTATACTAATTTATTAACTTATGCATCAATATTTTCGTTAAATATTGATATGAGATGACTAGATTGATAACATTTAAATAATTAATTGATAAAATTAATAGATTGATAATCAAAATCAAAAATAATAATATAACCATATGTGTAATATTATAATTTCATACATTTTTCCTATAACTACAATAAAGTCAAAACTGGTTTTCATATATTGTTATATCATATTAATGTAGATAATTCACTCCACCTTTAACACACATTAACAAAATACATTTGATAATTCTTACATTATAATCGAAACACTTTACATAATATATTATTAATTTATAATAATAATAAAAATAAAATATTTATTATTAAATAAAATACGTGGCAGTCGAGCTGGGGAAAGGCGCGTCCCCGGGGATGCGCCTTCCACACGTGGCATCCAACTCAGCGAAAACACTCAACAGAAAGGGTGTTACTTCGGGAAATATTAGTCAAACGGTGCCAGAAAAAACATATTAGAGAAAATTGGTGTCAATTATGTCAAATAACCAAATCTCCACCCTCCTAATTTATTCTCAGAGTAATTCGTACTCTCCTCCCTTATGTTTTAACCCTGTTGTTGATTTGCTCTGTGTTTTCTTCCCTTTCCCACTCCAGTGTATGTCCAAGCTATATTAAAATCGAATCTTTCCTTTCTTTTCTTAGAAAAGAAAATTCAAATTAATTTTCTCATCAATCAAACATATGCTTGACATTGAGAATATTGAGAATATTGGCTATGAGTACAAAAATTATTGGGAGACAAAATATTTCCTTGAAAACGAAGAATACAGGTACCTTCTTCTTTTTCCATGTCAATTCGCAGTACGAGTAAAATCCTTTTAGAAAGTGAAACGCCTTTGGCTAAGACATATAGTACACGAGAAAACAGTAGAGGATTGAATTTGAATTATTACGAATTACTAAAGAGTAAAGAGGTTTTAATTCTGTTTTGAATTGAAGCAGTTGGTGTTGAAAGCGTAGATGGGCTCACGATAATTTATAATACTCAAAAATTTTTATTTATACGAAACAAAATATGTTACAACGACACTCTCAATATTACAATACTGCAATACTAGCTGCTGCTAGTTTACAAACTCACCAATATATTTAAAGCTTTGCTAAGCTTCACAATATATCTCTCAAATCTCTTTATTTTTTCACTCCTCAATCGTATTTATGCTCACTCACTTTTTTATTCACGCTCACTACCTCACACCAACTAAAGGCTAAGCACACATATATATAGGTTGTATAACCGACTTATTTGAGGACCTCTGGATGCTTCTCAACTTCTCTCCTTAATTCTTGCTTGACATGTTGCCGTGTGAATTCAAACAATTAAAGAAAAATCTTTGCCGACATATGCATGTGTGGTTTAGTGTACTGCCAAGCATTTCCACTTTGTTTTGTTTACTTGTGAATCTATCTCCATTTGCCACGTTGAACTTCTACACAATTCCAAGAGTTTAACTTCTAACACTCCCCCTCAAACTCGACTTTCCATTCCAAGCTTTTCTTTGAGTCGATTGAATATATCTGCTCTCAATGGCTTTATGAAAATGTCTACTATTTGATCTTCAGTTCTACAGTAAATTAGCTCCACATTTTTTTCTTCACCTGCTCTCGTATAAAGTGATTTTTTTATCAATATGCTTGCTTCGGCTATGAGAGACTGGATTCTTGGCAAGAGAAATTGTAGACTTGTTGTCGACATAAATTTTAATCGGTTCTTCTTGTGCCAAATTTAGCTCGTTCAAAATATTCTTTAACCACATTGCTTGGCAAGTGCACGATGCTGCGGCTATGTATTCTGTTTCACATGTTGAAAGAGCTACCGTTTGTTGCTTCTTTGATGACCATAAAAATGCTGCAGAGCCGATATGAAAGAGATATCCAGTTGTGCTTTTTCGATCGTCTAAGTCTCCCCCATAATCACTATCAGAATAACCAACCAGCTTCGAATTTTCTGAATGCGTGTAGAATAAACCATGACCTGTTGTACCTTTGACATATCTGAGGATTCTTTTTGCTGCAATCCAATGATCTTGTTTTGGATTCTCCATGAATCTGCTTACCAATCCCACAGCATATGTTATGTCTGGTCGTATGATAGTTAGATACCTTAGACTTCCAACGATGCTTTTAAACAACGTCGGATTCACTTGCTCTCTTGTTGAATTCACACTTAATTTGATTCCTGGTTCTGCTGGAGTGGCTACCAGCTTGCAATCTTCCATTCTGAATTTTTTTAAAATTTCTTCTGCATACTTCTTTTGTGATATAAATATTCCTTCTTGCATTTGCTTCACTTCAACTCCAAGAAAGTATGACATTTCTCCAATATCTGTCATTTCAAATTCTTTAGTCATAGCTTTCTTAAAATCATTGAACATACCTGGATTATTTCCTGTGAAAATCATGTCGTCCACATATAAGCACACGATCATGATATCACCGTCTTCATTTTTCTTGGTGTATAAGGCATGCTCGTATGGACTCTTCATGAACCCATTTCTATGGAAATATTCATCAATTCTCGTGTTCCATGCTCTCGGGGCTTGCTTCAGACCATATAGAGCTTTCTTCAATCTGTAAACTTTGTCTTCATGTCCCTTTTTAATGTATCCAGGTGGTTGTTCAATATAAACTTCTTCTTCTAGGTAACCATTTAGAAATGCTGACTTCACATCCATCTGGTAAATTTTCCATCCTTTTTGTGTTGCGACTGCTGTGAGAAGTCTGATGGTCTCGATCCTTGCTACTGGAGAAAATACTTCATCATAGTCTATTCCTTGTCTTTGCTTATAGCCTTTGACAACTAGTCTCGCTTTGTGCTTCTCGACCTTTCCTTCTTTATTGGTCTTTGTCTTGTAAACCCATTTTACTCCAATTGGATTATGGCCTTCTGGTTGTCTTGTTAGCTCCCATGTATCATTTCTTTCTATTGATGCAATTTCTTCATCCATTGCATTCCTCCATTTATCATCTTCAACCGCTTCTTCGTATGTTATTGGATCACTGTTCACAAGCAAGCAGAAAAGTGAAACATTATTTAGTTCATAATCGTTGTACCTTTCTGGCATTCTTCTCTCTCATGTGGATCTTCGAAGTTCTGTGGGAGGTGCTTCAGGATCTTCTATTATGTTGCTAGCATCGCTGCTGCTACTTGACGGCAATGGTAGATTTTGTTGAGGACCTTGATCATCAGCTTGTTCATCTTGATTGATAAGATCGCCATCTTTAAAAAATAGTCCTTCAACTTTCTTTTCTTCTTTGCTCCATCTCCAATAGTCTGCTTCATCGAACTCAACATCTCTTGAAATTATTATCTTCTTGGTAAGAGGATTATATAATCTGTAAGCTTTGCTTCTTTCATCATAGCCAATGAAAATACATTTTTCTCCTCTGTCATCAAGCTTCTTTCTAGTCTGTTCTGGAACGTGGGCGTATGCGATGCATCCAAAAATCTTGAGGTGTCCAACTCCTGGTTTCTGTCCACTTCAAGCTTCGTTTGGCGTCATATACTTCACGCTTTTTGTTGGACATCGGTTCAATAGGTAAACTGCACATCGAACTGCTTCAGCCCAGAAATTTCTCGGTAGTTGCTTGCCTTTTATCATGCTTCTCGCCATGTCCAGGATTGTGCGATTCTTCCTTTCTGCAACTCCATTTTGTTGTGGCGTGTATCTGGCTATCAGCTGATGGATGATGCCATGCTCTTTGCAGAATTCTTCAAATAACTTTGATGTGTATTCGCCTCCTCTATCTGATCTGAGTATCTTCAAATATTGACCGCTTTGTTTTTCCGACATTGCTTTGAATTCTCTCAATTTTTCCAGCGCTTCTGACTTTTCTTTCAAGATATAAATCCAATATTTTCTACTAAAATCATCAATGAAAGTTAGGTAGTACCTGTTACCGCCAAGCGATGGTATGTCAAAAGGATCGGCTATATCTGTGTGTACTATCTCCAGTGGTCTTCGGGCACGCCAGGATCTACCAACTTCAAAGCTTTGTCTATGTTGTTTTCCTTTGATGCAAGCCTCACATAATTGATTTGGAGGGTTGATCTCTGGTAGTCCTTTCACCATGCTTGTTTTTGATAACAGCTTCAAACCAGAAAATCCAAGATGTCCATATCTTAGATGCCATAGCCATGAATCATCTTTGATCGCGGTCTTCATGCACGTGACTTCTCCCGACTCGATATCAATTGTAAAGAGACGATTTCGAGTCATATCAACTTGGGCTATCAATTCTCCTTCTTTATTTTTAATGGCAAGCGAGCGGTTTTTCATCTGCACTTCATATCCTTTTTCCAAGAGTTGACCAAGACTGATGATATTGCTTTTCAAAGCAGGTACATAATAAACATCTGAAATATATTTCTTTTCTCCATTTCTCTGAGTAATCATGACTTTGCCTTTTCCTTTTATTTCTGAGTGCGAGTCATCTCCGAATGTTACTCGTCCATGAACTGTTTCATCTAATTTCACAAACAGTTCCCTTTGACCACACATATGGTTGCTAGCACAATTATCAAGATACCAAATATTTTTCTTGAATTCCTCATTTCCTTTATAAGTGAGGAATACGTGAGATTTTTCAATTTTTTCTTCTTCAGCTGTTGCTACGTTATTTCTTTCTTCTTGTTTAGGAGCAGATCTACAGTCATAACTATAATGACCATACTTATTGCAATTATAACATTGTACCTGGAATTTACTTCCTTGTTGATATTTGCCCCTACCTCGGCCTCTGAATCCTCGTCCACGACCTGATGTTGGAATATTTTCACTCATTTGTTCGGGGCCATATGGTCGACCACCACGTCCACGAGTTCCTCGTCCTCCTCTGTATCTTCCACGATAACTGCCACGATTTCCTCGACCTCGTATGTAGCTGATGCTAGCTTCTCCTTCGTTGAAATTCATCTTGCTTTGTAGAGCTTGCTCCAAATTTTCAGAATCTTCATTTTGTTTCATTTTCTGCTCATGGGCTTGAAGTGAACCCACAAGCTCATCAATCGATATCTGAGATAAATCTTTTGATTCTTCGATTGCCACCACCACGTAATCGAATTTTCTTGTTAATGACCGCAAAATTTTTTCCATCACTCTAACATCATCGAGTGATTCACCATTTCTTTTCATTTTATTTACGACCGTTTTCACACGGCTAATATAATCATCGATGTTTTCTGTATTTTTCATTTTTAAAATCTCAAACTCAGCTCGGAGAGTTTGTAAGCGTACCTTCTTTGCTTTTTCGACACCTTGTAGAGATTTTTGCAAAATCTCCCACGCTTGTTTTGCAGTCTTTGCATCAGAAATTTTTTCAAAGGTAGATTCGTCTACTCCTTGAAAAATAAAGAACAATGCTTTTTTTTATCTTTTCTCCGGGATTCTTTCAATACCTTCTTTTCTTCATTGGCCAGGGCTGCTTCTGCTGCTGCATTTTCAGGCTCGGTGTAACCATCCTCGATGATATCCCAACAATCTTGGGACCCTAGTAACGCCTTCATTTGAATGCTCCAATTGCCATAATTTGTCTTTGTCAATCTCGGGATTTGAGGTTGAATCATGTTGGCCATCTTCTCCACCACGTTGAACTCGAACCAAGCTCTGAGGCCACTTGTTGGAAGCGTAGATGGGCTCACGATAATTTATAACACTCAGAAATTTTTATTTATACGAAACAAAATATGTTACAACGACACTCTCAATATTACAATACTGCAATACTAGTTGTTGCTAGTTTACAAACTCACCAATATATTTAAAGCTTTGCTAAGCTTCACAATATATCTCTCAAATCTCTTTATTTTTTCACTCCTCAATCGTATTTACGCTCACTCACTTTTTTATTCATGCTCACTACCTCACACCAACTAAAGGCTAAGCACACATATATATAGGTTGTATAACCGAATTATTTGAGGACCTCTGGATGCTTCTCAACTTCTCTCCTTAATTCTTGCTTGACATGTTGCCGTGTGAATTCAAACAATTAAAGAAAAATCTTTGCCGACATATGTATGTGTGGTTTAGTGTACTGCCAAGCATTTCCACTTTGTTTTGTTTACTTGTGAATCTATCTCCATTTGCCACGTTGAACTTCTACACAATTCTAAGAGTTTGACTTCTAACAGTTGGGTGATTGATGAGTTCTCCGGCTACTACGATTCAAGTTCTCCCGATGGAGCAGCCTCCTCCGTCGCGTCCAAGAACATCGTTTCCGAGAGAAACAGAAGGAAAAAGCTTAACGAAAGCCTCTTTGCTCTCAGGGCTGTTGTTCCAAATATCAGCAAAGTATGTCCATTGTTTTTAAACTTTTAGAGAAGAAAACAATCAAAGAAATCGGATCGATCCTTTGTTTGTTTGCTGTTTGATGAAATGTCTCGCAGATGGACAAGGCTTCAATTATCAAGGATGCCATTGATTATATCCAGGCACTACACGATCAGGAGAGCAGAATCCAGGCGGAGATCATGGAGTTGGAGTCTGGAAAACTGAAGAAAAATCCAGGGTTCGGGCATGACCAAGACCAACCGATGTTGAGATTCAAGAAGACCAAGCTCGACAACATTTTTTATTATGGAGGACCAACAGCTTCCCCTGTTGAAGTTCTTGAAGTACTCTATTAAACCTATAATTCCCCTATCTCATGCTCGCAATCGTTTTTCAAAAATGTTGGACTTACAATTAATTTTGGTTTTCGAAGCTGAAAGTCACACACATGGGAGAAAAGACAATGGTGGTGAGCATAACATGCAGCAAAAGGACAGACACGATGGTCAAATTGTGTGAGGTTTTTGAATCTTTGAAGCTCAAAATCATCACGTCAAACATCACTGCGGTCTCCGGTAGGCTGTTGAAAACCGTGTTCATTGAGGTAAGTAATTTCCCCTTTTTTCTTTTAACTTGTTCTGTTCCCTTTCAAGTTTCAAGTCGCATTTTGTGTTATTTTCTGCGTCGTGATACGCGACAACACCAGTAATACCTGCATATATTTATGACCTAAAACGGAAAAAAATCGAAATTTACTCTTCAAGCAACTTAGATCCGTGCATACAAATAAGAATAAGATAGGTCATTAAATTATATTAAAAATGATATTTTTAGTTATTAGAATTTTAAAAATTATAAAATACTTATTTAATATTTTCAATTATTATAAAATAATTATTAAATTTTATCAAACTATTACAAAATAAATCTTCAGCTTAACAAAAATTTATAAAACACAATAACTATTCTATAATAATTTGATAAGTTTAATATATAAACTTAAGAAGTTTTAGTAATTAAAAAAATCATTTCATCGTAGTTTAGTAACTATATGCATTCTTGCCAACGAGTGTTGGAATAAGTAGCAGGGACGGAGTCAGAATTAAAAATTGGCAGGGGCCGAAATATTAAGACTATTTAAGAAAAATATAAATACTTATCAAGTATTTAAACTCGAAATTCAGCATGATCAAGCGGTCTTAGTGATTAAGGGATTGTTGTTATCCTTGAGATCCCGAGTTCAAGCACGTATGTAAGGGTATGAGCGTTCATTGTCAAATAGTTGAAAGTCTTTGTACAAATATTATCTTGTATTTACCCTAAATTTTAAAAAAAAACTCAAAATACAACTTCTAATTTATCTAATATTTAAATTTATAATGACTTAAATTATTTAATAAATATTTAATAGGGATCGGGACTCCTACTTGATTAAATATTTAATAAATTTTTATATTTATAAAATTTAAATATTTATTTTTACTTGAACCAAAATACTATTAAACAAAAATTATATCGAATATATAAATTTTAATAGGGATCGGGACTCCTTGGGGCCTAAGGGAGCTACGTCCCTGATAAGTAGTAGGGATTAAAGAATTTGTGCTTGTAAGGCAAAGTTCGAATCCTACCACCGTCACTCTTGGTGGATAGCCGTAAATTCCTATGTTAGGTATGCCCTAGTCCTGAACTGGAGGAGCCACCCCTCCTCTAAACTTTTTGTAAAAAAATAAACTATATGCATCCTTTATCCAAAGAAAGATTATGGTAAATAGGGAGGTCTTGGTATAATTTTTGATAATTTATCAATTAATTCAAATAAAATATATCAAAAATCTATTGTAAGAATAATTTTCTCAGTCCATTTTATTTTATTCAAACACGGAATATTTATTAAAATTATAACATCTTATTTCACTAAATTCATTAGTAATTAGTTTAACTAATCAAATTTAATTCTAAATTTATTCTTAAACAATTAATTGGAAAATCAATCTTTAAAGAGTTTTACCTCATTTTAGAAGTTTGAGTACTAGATTCTAGATAAAATGATGTTAGATATTTGAAAAAAGAAAGAGCATTATTTATTGTTGGATGATGTAGTGACAAATAAATTATAGGAAATTGGTGGCGTACACTAGGGGTGTGTAAATCTGGGTATCCGGATTTTTGGGTATCCGATTTTCGAGTACCCGAAATTTTTAGGTCGGCGATTTCTCGGCCCGTGTCTCGACCCGGATATTATGAGTACCCGGTAGTCGGGTACCCGCTACCTAATTTTTTTATTTTTTATTTTTAAATTATTAATTTTAAAAAAATATATACAAATTTAAATGTTCGAAACTTTAAATTACATACTCTAATATCCGAACATAAAATTTAAAAGTTTGAAATACAAAATATAATAATTCATAATATAAATAATTCATTATATTTTATATAATTATATATAAAAAAATAAAAACTAACCGGGTACTCGGGTAACCGGATACCCGGAAAAACTAGATTTTGTGACCCGGGCCTGACCCGGGAAATGTCGGACCGAGTACCCGACCCGGCCGGATAATTTTTTTTAGAGAATTATCTGATTTTTTTAGTTCCGGGTCGACAAATCAGGTCAACCGGATCGGATAATTTTGTACACCCCTACACCACATAATAGAAGGGTATCAAATAAGAAAAAAGGCCAGATATGTGGGGCCACAAAGATTGAAACGGGAGATAAACTTTAATAAAGGGTTGATCCACTACCATATTTTATTGATTAATTTAATATATCTCAGAAACATGACAATATAAATAACTAATATATACAAAAATAAAAGAATGAAATATTGAAGTACACTACTAATCATATTTCAGATACAGAAAATATCATTTTTTTTAATTTTTTCTTGAAACTTACCATAAAACTTTGTTAATGCAATTTAACTAAACAAATACTTTAATTTAATCGATCTGAGTAGTTTAATCATTTAAAGGTTAGTGAAATCCAGAGTGTCCGAATAAAACTGGTTCCGACACAACTAAAGTGGGAACGGAAAAGAGAAAGTGAAAGTACCAATATCTCCCACTTTAAGGGTGTATTTGGTTGAGGAAATGTGAGATTCTCATGGGAATATAATCCACATTCCCCCGTTTAGTTGGTTGGGAATGTTATTCCCGATAATCTTACATTACTAATAGTGGATTTTTTTTGGGTATATTACCGAAAATGTCATTACCTCCCTTTCCTTAGGTATTGTTGGATTAACGCTGTTTTGGACTAAAATGCCCTTAATTTTTTTTCAAAAATATCATTATTCTGTCATTGAATAATAAAAATTCTACGAATGTTAAATTACAAATTTATCCTTAAACTATTTTAGATTTACAAAAAAATCTATAATTAAAATTTTATATGAAGTTTAAGGGTTAAAATAAAATTTTACCCTTTCATTAAACCTTTTTATATTTTCAATTTTATAAAAAAATTATATAAATTTTATGAATTTAAATTTTTTTAAAGAAAATATATAAATATTTTCCAACTTGTTAAAAAAACAAATATATAATAAGAACAATTTGGTCAAATATGCATCTAATAATCTTTTATTTCTTTAGCCAAACACGGTAATCTTACATTCCTGCTAAACCAACCAAACACAAAATACAACATTCCCAGTAATCCTATTCCCTGGTAATCTTTTATTCCCACTGATAATCTTACATTTCGTGAACCAAATGCACCTTAAAGGTACAACACAACAATACATCACCGATTGTGCTATTTTTTGGTATTTTTTAATTCAAGAGATATATAAACAATAGTAGAGAGAGAATATTTAATAAATTTTTGTGGGTTTTAAATTTGAAAATGATTAGAAAAACTAGTTTATATCTTAAAAAATATCATCTTATAAAAAAGTTGGTATACAACTATCTTCTGCTTATTTATTTTAATATAACATATAATTAATGCATTGTTAGGGTAGAAATTATATAGACTAATTGTGAATCACTTCATGACACTGTTGAAACCTTTAAAATAATATAATTATTGATGTTATCTATTATCTTACATTCGACACGAAAAGGGTGGTGATCATGAATAATAATAAAAATGAACATAATTTTTTGTATTAATGATACAAATTTAAAATTTACATTAAACATTTAGATATATAAAATAAAATTTAAATAAGTATAAAATTTAACTAATAAAAAAATTCAAAAAGATGAGACCACATTTAACCAACCCCTCATTCCATCGGACCGACGCAACTAATTATGTTTCCTGTTCATTGCATCTGTAATTTTCATCAAAAACTTTCAAAAGAAAACTCCAAAAATAACTTTAGAAACCACATGGAAACCTCACGCGTCAAATATATATATATATATATATATAAACATGCATTTAAAACGTGCAGGGTTTAATCTGTGTCATCTTTTCACATTTGCTTTTCATATATATATGGATATATTCGAATATGCTTTTTTTCATACTACGTAATAGTTCGTCACTGGTTTTTTCTGTATAATACGTAATAAAAACAGTTCATAATTTCCTTAATTTTCTGTATCTTTATAGTTTTCCGTGGGATGTGGTCCATGTGGAGGGCTTGCTTTGGTTTTATTAATAATTTCATTTGTTGTTTAGAAATATGCAATGAATCTATCAGATAAGAATTAAAGAGCGTGTCAAATATGTACTTTCTTTGCAAATTTCTCGCATGTTTTTCCTTTTAAATTTCCTTTTTGTTGAAGGGAATTAACACACAACGTGCCCAAAATAAACAAGATATTTCATTTTCAATAGATAATATTTTTTTATTCTATTTATATTTCTTAAAAAGGTTCATTTTAAAAATAAAATATAATTTTGAGCTTCATTACTGAATTATATAGTACTCCATTGTTTAATAGTCTCGTGGGTCGACATAAATGCAGGCGGATGAAAGGGAGAAGGATGAGCTAAAGGTACAGATTGAAACAGCCATTGCAGCTCTGAACGATCCACAGAGTCCGATGAGCATGTAACGATGAGTACATGTGCCCATTTTCGTAGAGTATTTAGTTTTCGGCAGTCATATGTTTTAGAGGTAAGTTTGGCGAGTCCATGTGTCCTTGTAAAAAAGTCTCTCCAATGCTCTGTGTTTGAAATTTCGATGGAATAATATTTCTCACTTCCCAAGAAAATCTCTTAACTAATATTAAAATTATACAAAAAAAAATCAGAAATCATTGCACTTAAAAAATATAATTTTTTTATTAATGTGACTTTTAAGCTCAAAAAATAAATTTAATATGACAATTTGATTAATGTTTTCTATAATTAACCGTTTACAGTATTGATATGATGTTTTATGGTGTTAATGTGATAGTCCATCTACTATGTTTGAGTTACTAATTTAACTCATTTGTCATATTATCCATCAAGTTATCAACTAATGTGGATTGTTACATCAACACGGTAGATCGTCACGTTAACATCGTAAACTATCACATCAAAACCGTAATAAAAAATAAAAAAAATATTAATCAAAGAACTACATTAAATTTTATTTTCTTAACTAAAGGATCATATTAAGAAAGAATAATACGACGCCACATTATTCTTTTTTTTTAAATTACCTATTACTTTTTGCCTTAAAATTATCGTAAGTATGTTATGGTAATATTTATCACGCTTCCAACAAAAGTTAATTAACCTTTTCATCCCTTTTAAACATTTACTTTTTTTTTCAAGTTATTCATAAACTTTATAAAGTCATAGTGGATTTAAATTTAAATAAAATCCAT